CACATGTGACTCCCTTACATTGTTGAAAATATGCCATTGGACAATCATAATTTATGATTTACTAATGGATATTTTAAGCTCATTAATTAATAAAATAACAAACTCATTTTATGTTAATTATTATTGTGAGTTTTTTTTATTAATATTTAGTTTATGAATATTATGTTTAGTAGCTAACTAAGTATGTGATTTAATTGTGGAATGCTACACTTTCTAATAAGCAAAATATTCTAATTGTCCCTAGTCTAATATTATTATTTTGGGACATTGATAATTAATAGACCACAATGTGGATTAACTAATGACTATATTCCACTAGTCATGGTTACTTGGGTTATATGTCAAGTTAGTGAATAAGTTAATTGGACAGACCCAATTTGAGGACACCGTTAGGTTATATGTCATCAGTGTTATCCTCAATAATGATGATGTGTTATATTCTTATACTTGAGATAATCATGGTTACTTACATGAAAATTAATACTCTGTCTGTCCCAAAATTATATTCATAGTTAATATTCACATGGTTAACTCAAATTAAACTTAATCTTTTACTTTATATATCAAATTTTTATCAAACTTAAATTTTCTTAATCAGACTTTGTAGCGGATTTAATGTAGTTTCTGAATATGTCAATTTAATTTACTAAAAATAATCTGAGTATGAACAGGGATCAAGTTGCTTTATCGTCAGTCAAGCATCGTAAACCGAACTATGAAGATAAATATGGGACGGAGGGAGTACTTTGTATGTATCAACACCAATAAATGTTATCTTTAAATGCGTAATTATAAAGGTTGTGATTGTACGAATTATGAACCAGAACCACGTAGTGGTATGTGAATTATCAAAATAGTTTTTGTCACTCTCATATAGCGGGAGAAAGATGTCTATTGGGCCCCTTGACAAGTAAGATTAATTAGCATGGTTATGCTGAAATTAAGTGTCATTTGTTCAAGATTAATCTTAGTTGGTAATCAAGAAATATTAATTGAGAATAACAAGAATGACACGAATGTGAACTGCAAGCCCTAGGGAACAAATATTTTTTAAAGTGCTATAACTTTTTTATTTGTAATCCAATTTGTATAAAAACATACATTGAAATTCTTAACTTTCCATGATCTTTCATATGATAACAATATTGCATATATAAAGTTTAAAAAAGTTTTTTAAGTTCATGGTCCCTCACAAATTATCAAACTTTACTTGAATTCATTTTACATTATATTATTTTTTAACCGGAAAAATTCCGGAAAAGTTAACTAAATTTTTATTTTTAACATCAATATATGCACTTTTGTATTTCAAAATTATTTATAAAAAATAAAAGAAAAACTTTGTTTAGTAATTTAATTAATATTTTACTAAATTGATACGTGAAAAGTATGTTGAGTGAATTTTATTGACTGTGCTGGAATATAGTGAAAAAGTGTATTGATAGAGTTCATACGCGTATTGTTGTCATATGGACGGAGTCCATGTTTGAGTTTTCTAAAAGTGCATGTATGCAGGTAGTTTAAGGATGTTTTTACTTGGATTTATTTTATTCATATACAAGATCGGATCAAAGTAGACCAAAGCAGACTTAAACATATCGAACCAGATCAAACTTAAACATGCGAGATCGAGTTATGACAGGTATAAAATACACATAGACTCATTTATCAGATATAAGTAGACCAATTCCGATCAGACCAGATTTAAATATATCAAACCATACCAGACTAGATCGGTCCAGCCCTCAAGTGTGTGAAGGGTATTTTACTTTAATACTCATACTTTACGTAGGTGTTTTCCTCCTTGAAGGTGTAAACATTGTATAGTTGAAAGACTCTCTCACACGCGGGGGTGCAAATCAAATCCCGAAACAGGAAAGAAAATTGTGACTTTGTGTGAGGACGTCCTACAGACACGAATGTCGTCTGAAAATCTATAAGACGCATTTTTTCTTTTTCGAATGATAACTTATGTTGTTTTCTTCTCTGAATTGCCATTGTTTGAACGTTTGTTACCACAATAATTGTGGTGTTTAATTGTTGGTTAATACTGAGGCTCCTCCCTAAGAACACTGAGCTACAGATACTACTACAACACTAGACTCTCCAACGATGAAACTCTTCCAAGCTTCCAGAAAATTCTTTGTTCTACCCATTGTTCCATTTCACCGGAGCAACCTATTGAGTGCTCAATGGTGTTGTTCATTTGCCGTCATATTATGAGAAACTAATACTGCAACGCTCCTAGCGAAATGATTTTTAAGGATTTTGTGTGTCGCACAAACTTTAGCAGCTTCTATCTTTGTTCGGTATTATTTCTATCCGAATGAGCTCGTTTCACCCTTATTTGTACTAATCTCATAAGCAAGATACTAGCTATCTATTGAAATTTCCATTCAATTCTCGTCTACACTTTCATATACTTCTCTACAGAATGTTCTAATAATGTTCTCTAGAAAGATCTACATTATTATAGGACCTTTAATTAACCTCAACAAACACATGTAGATAATTATAGGCATTACCACGATCTTCAAGAGTTTACATGAGCTTCTCAACTAAGAAAGGAACATAACAATAATATAATTTAAATAGGCAACAATTTATTAATTGAATTTTGTAAATAGAGAAAGTTGGATTAACGACATGATAATCAATGGAACTTTTAACATGACACTAGAGTATATGTTTAAAATTTTGGGCATTTTCCAAAACGATGAACACAATATAAACTTGTGATCACCGCGCTAATAAAATTACATGTACATTATGAAAATGGTACACATGCATTTTATTTTCACATAAAATACAAATCTAAACACAAGGTTTTTTGAAAAGATAGGGACCGCTAGAACGCAAACCCCCACTACCACAAATTATGAGGTAGGTTTCACCATTTGGGTAGACCTTATGACGATACCCTTCCAAAGTGCAGTGGAAGTCATCAACCTAGGCCATGGACCTTCTTGATCGCCCATCGACCTCGTCCAGGAGTAAATCTAAACGTAAGTTTTATTTTACATGTCCAAATACAAATGTCATTATATTGTAAGATCAATGAATTTGTTGGCTATTATATACACATAAATCTATGTTTATATGTATTTATAAAATAATTTTAAAAATTAAATGTATATTTATGATGGAGTATATGGGTCTAGGCCCCAGGACCCACATACTCAGAAGAACAGAAAGCACAAACCACTGCACAGTGCCCTCGTCGGCCAAAGGACCCATGTCGGCCGAAGAGGGACCAACTCAGAAATATGATCCTGAAGCCAGGGAACCAGGGTGTCCTTGTCGGCCGTGCCCTCATCGGCCATGCCCTCATCGGCCGTGCCCTCGTCGGCCAGACCCTCATCGGCCAAGGAAGTCTCGCAGAACTAGATCTTACACTTATCCATTTATATATTCCATCATTTACTTTGTATTCGGCCCAATAGCGGTCCAGTTGTAAATGGGTCTCCCAAGCCCAAGACTTGGGAGCTCAGCCCGTATTTTTCCTATAAATACTTCCTCTGGAGGTAGTTATAGGGGTTACAAAATCATTCTATTGAAGCATTTACTTACACTTCTCTCTCTAGCTCTCACTTCTCTCTAGAATCTAGATATATACTCTATCAATTTATAATTGGGAAATGCTGCAAATATACCCCTTGTACTACGAGTGTGAGAACAAATATACCCTTGTACTATTTTTCGGAACAAATAAACCCTTAAAGTATATGTTGAAGTGGATATATAACCTTGAACTTTCAAAAAGTGCAAAAATACCCCTCATATTCTTATAATAGAGCACATTTACCCTTATTGACAAAATTAATTTCAAAAAACGCCAAAAATAAATTTTAAATTTAAAATAAAAAATAAAAAATTATAAAAATGTACTTGTATCCAATATTTCTTCCTTTTTATTATTTTTATATCACAATCTAATATTGTTAGTATAACATAATATTTCAAAACTGTACTTTATATTTTAGATTCTTTAAAAAAAGTGTTAATTAACATATGTGTTGCAATGTAATAAAATATATTAATTTTTTGCATTCTTTGCACTATAAATTACACATTTTGTATGACGATAATCCAAGATTAAGAAATAGTGAATTTAATTTTATTAAGGGTAAACAAAATCAAAGAGTGTTATTTAAAAAAATTAACAATGTGTTCAAAATTTCGCAACAAGATTGAAATTAATATTTATGAATTTGAAGTTTTTTTGTTTACAATAGAAAAATATTAGTATAGATATTTAAAATTAAAGAGTTAATATTTTAACATAATAATAAATCTTTGTATTTAAAAATTCGAATTCATAATTTTTTGGGGGGTTTTTTGAAATTTATTTTATCTATTTAAAATCAATAAGTGTAAATTTGCTCCTTTATAAGAACATGAGGAATTTTTTTTGCACTTTGTAAAAGTTCAGGATTATATACACACTTTGTCATATACTTCAGAGGTATATTTGTTTCGAAAAATAATACAAGGGTAAATTTGTTCTCACGCCCATACTACAGGGATATATTTGTACTGTTTCCCTTTATAATTTTATATATTGACCTGGTCATGTCGAGACGTCATGGGTTAATACTTCGTATTACTTAGGTTATGTTTGCATAAACTTGAAAAAAAAAGATGTTCAGCTTTTGACTTTAAAAAACTGAAAACAATATTTTCAAACAACAAGTTCTCCTTAAATTAAAACTTAAAATCTTAAAATTGGAATCTGTTTTTTACTTTTTCTATTACACAAAAGGCATATATTTTAACAAAAACTATCAACTTTTATATTGATCATTTTTTCTAAAATCACTCTAAAAATTGTTTTTCTTAAACAAAAGCATTTGAACACACTCTCTTAGTAGGACCCGTTGCATCATGTGCACTAGACGAGCCAGACCCAATTCAAAATGTCATGGGACAGGTAGATCCTTACGGGCCGGTTTTTGTAACATGACTAACACAATCTAAAAACAAAATTTGCTTATATTTCTCTCATAATCTTAATAACTTTTCCATTAAATTTCTTCAATTTACATCGACATTTTGTTCTCCAAAAACAGAAAACAAAACTTGACACAATTCTTGTTACAAAGGTAATACACTTGGATTTTGAAGCGATGATTACATATGGGAATGGAAGCAAAGAGGTAGAAAATATATTTAATATTTAATTAATTAATACACTAAACACCTAATTAGCTATCAAGTACACAAAGTGGTTCATCCTTATCAAGGAAACCACTTATACGTGTTATTATAACATTTGTTACACAAATTGTCACTGTGGGGCCACCCCAATTGCCAGCACAAACACACCGCTTGCGTCATCCTATACCCCACCGTCGTCGTCACCGGCAGAGATTGCGGCGTCGGCGCCGTCAGAAAATCATACGAATGCGTAGACTCTGCGGAATTTGAAGATGACGCACTTTCGACCGTTGGATGCATCGACAGCCCAATAGACAAGTCAAGATTGACCGTTCGATCATTCATCTGTTGCTGTTTTAACGGTTGAGATTCCTCTGTTGTTGTGCCGCTGTTGCATTTCGTGTCTTCGTGAGAACATGATGCTGTCGGGGTTGTGTTCCTAAAATCCCGGCAGCTGTCCTTGGTGGCGGCGGCGGCGGCGGTCGGGGTTCCGGCGTCGGCGGATGTGGGGGAGGAGGTGATGGGACGGTGGGTTTGTGGGTCCAGCCCACGGCTGAGAAGCTTGCGTTTAATGTGAGTGTTCCAGTAGTTCTTGATTTCATTGTCAGTCCTTCCCGGCAATCTTGCGGCTATCAACGACCATCTGTAAAAACAGAACAAAAACAAGATTCAGAAAATTAGCAGTGTTTTAGCAGAATTTAAGAAAAGGAGTATAATTTTTTGGGGAAATTAAAAAAAAATGTATTTAGAAGATTTCTTTAATGAGGTGTTGAAAGTAAAGCACAAAATTCAAACTTTCAACTGTCTGCTACCAATAATCTAATGTTCTTGATTTAAGTCATTTAACCTAACCCCTTTTGCTGCTTCCAGAACATATCATAATACTCTCTCCATAACATTCATATCTTCTTACTTTCCTTTTTTAGCTGTAACATTCATATCTTTCCATTTCTAAATATGCCTATCATACCTTCAATAATTTTAAAAACAATACACTATTACAACTATTTTTTTGAGTTTATCTTTGATTCCAGCACACTATTTCATTCTTCCCATCATACCCTCAATAACTTATATCTCCTTTCACTATTCTTAATCTCACCTACTTTTCAAATGAGAATTTATATCTCCTTTCACTATTCTTAATCTCACCTACTTTTCAAATGGGAAGATATACGTTAACGAGTTCTAATGTTCTAGATTTAAGTCATTTAACCTAACCCTTTTGCTGCTTCTAGAACATATCATAATAATACAGAGTACGTAATACTGAAATTTCAAGATTTGATATATTTCAACCTCATAATCAATTAATAGAATGCTGAAAGCAACTTTAAACAGAGATAGATGTAACAGGTCAGAAAATTCAAATCTTTGAATTTTCTGCCACCAATAAACTGTATTTGTTCAATTGGTCATTAAACTCCTCTGCTTCTTCTAGAACATCTTTGTTTCTTTCAAACGGTAACACCATTCTCTTGATTAAATCAGCTCAAAATCATTAATTTTTCTAAAGATTTGATTTTTATGATTCCAAACAATACTAAAATCAATAAAAGTAAAGGATTCAATAATTGTGCATCTGATGTGAGCTTCTTTAACAAAAATCAATTCTTGAAAAAACAAAACCCAAGATTTCTTGTTCAAATCAAATTACAGAACCTAAGTAAAAATCAAGAAAAGGCCAGGGATATGATTAAAAAACGCACTTGTTTCCAAGGAGGCTATGGAGCTTGATGATGAGTTCATCTTCTTCTTCAGTGAAATTCCCTCTCTTCAAATCAGGCCGGAGGTAATTAATCCACCTCAGCCTGCAACTCTTCCCACATCGAAGCAACCCTATATATTCAATGAAAGATTAAATGTTGAAATCCACACCACTGAAACTCAAATCTTAACATAAAACTAGAACTGCCCAAGAAAACAGAAGTGATGGATTCGAAGCAGAGAAGGAAAGGGGTGAGAGGGTTGTACCAGCAGCTTTGGGGAGAGAACGCCAGCAGCCCTCACCGTGGGCGCGGATGTAGCTGATTAGGCGCTGGTCTTCTTCCTTAGTCCACGCGCCTTTGTTGGTGTGGGCTTTCTCACAGCAAGGGGAACGTCCCATGATGATGATGAATGGCCTCTGTACTTCTTCTTCTTCTTCCTTTCCCTCCCGTTTTCTTTTCTTTTCTTTTCTTGAGAGTTGGATAAGACTGACACTGATATATATACCCCTATATCTGTATATATACGGAGTACATATTTGTAATGAATGAGCGAGAGAGAGAAAGGTCTTGTGGGTTTGAGAAGGAAAGGGGTGAATCCTTGCGTCAGGGTCTTACAACGGCCCAATAATTAATTATTGGGGGAAAATAAATCGGTTTTAATCCTAGTATAGTTAATAAATGTGCAATAGAATCTACGTGGGAAACTTACAAGATTCTCAAAATTGCTAATAAATTGACCCAGGAAAAAATATAGAATTCTTCCTAAAATATAATTCAAATACAATCAAAACTTAAATAGAGTATGTTTGGCACATCTAACTAAAAGAAACTCCATCCGTCCCAACTTCCTACTTTCCTTTTTTGGATGTCTCAGAAAGAAGTTTCATTTCCTTAAATGACAAGTTAATCTACATCAAAACAGTGTCTAAACAGTAAAATTTACCTCATGGTAAGTTTATTTCCTTAATATGTGTGTAGATCAAACTGTGAAGTTCATTGTGGGACGAAGTGAGTACTTTTGTGAGTATTTAGCTTTTAGGGTTTAATTAATGCACCAAACCCTCTCGTCAAATATAAATTCGGTGCATTAGCCCCATGTAATTTAAAAAAGTGTCAAACCCCCATGTATTATAATTAATCATGCGCCAAAACCCCCTCCAAGAATAAATTTAATTTCCAAAAAAATAAAAAATGATTAGTTTTTTGTATAATTTAGAAATTTTGACAAAGTTACTTGCATATTCAATCATATTATTAAAAAAATTGATTTCAAAATTGTAAAAATTGTTTTTGAAGCGGGTTTTGCGCATGATTAATTAAAACCTAGAAGGATTTGATGCATTTTTTGAATCACAGAGGGCTAATGCGCTGAATTTATATTTTACGAGGGGGTTTGGTGCATTTAACCCTTAGCTTTTATTAACTGAAAAAAAAAATTAAAAGAAAAAGATGATGGATGTTTGATAAAAACCCGACAATTTGATTTAGAGCGTGTTTGGCATTTAGCGGTTAGCGGATGACGGGTTAAATTAGTGGTTTGTCAATAACGAAATCAGTCAGCGGAGTTGACTAGCGGAATAAGTTGGTGGGTTGCCAAAAAATGTTTGGTAATTTAGCTACTTGGTCATAAAAATTAGTAGAAAATGTCATTATTCCAAATACTAACTCAACACTCTTCTATTTGCAACATTTCCATTTCAGCGATTTCATCCAAAAACGCTAGGGCGGAACAACTATTTACCAAACAACGTTTTCATTTAGGGATAATTTGAGTTTGCATCTCATGTTTTGGGTGATATTTGACTTGCACCCCATTTTTAAAATCATTAATATATGCATCCTATTAGCCCAAAAATTGTGAGGGAGTGAGGTGCAAAGTCAAATGATTTTATAGTGAATAGGGGTGAGTGCATACATTAATGATTTTGAAAATAGAGTGCAAAGTCAAATATCACCCAAAATATGGGGTGCAAAGTCAAATTCTCTCTCTCATTTATTAAAAACGATAAAAGTAGCAAATCGTCATTCTTTGGCTAAAGCGCCATTTTCCAAAACCACCTTAGTTCTATTTGGTATACAAGTTTTTCAGACTAATTAAATAATGATAAAATCTACAGATTTTTCTCAAATGCTATCAAACTAGCTTCTCAGACAAGTTTTTTTATTTTGAAAAAAAAACTCTTAAAAATGTCATGCTAAACATACAACAAGAAGATTTTAGAGACTTTTGAAATAGTACAAAAATTAGAAGAATCAAATTTATGTCTACCAAACATGCATATAATTAAAATTATTACTAATATTGTATACTACCTCCATCCCTAAATTAAAGTCCTAGTTTGACTTCACACATATCAAGGAAATAAATTTACTCAGTGATAAATTTTATTGTAAAGTACACTGTTTTGACACTGTTTGAAATTGTTTTGCACTGTTTGACACTGTTTGATATAGATTTTACCAAATGAGGAAGTTAGACTTTAATTTAGGGACATCCCAAAGTGGAAAATGAGACTTTAATAAAGGATGACACCCCATCCCTGAGGGCCTCCCAACCCCGACCGGACAGTACGTTGGGAGGATGTAAGTTGGACTATAATCCCAATCTGACAGATAGAGAGTGGGGCTCTGTCCCCGGTAATGAGACTTTAATTTAGGGACGGGAGGGGGTATATGATATACATTGATAATTGATAGAGATTTCAAATATGCTTTAACTTAGATTTTATATATAAAAAATTATTATTATTATTATTACTTCGTATTTTTATTTTTTGATTTTGTAATTACATACCCATATTTTAATGTGGCGGTGATAGGTGCGATGACGAGAGGCGGAGTGGGGGTTGATGTCACATACTAAGGCGAGTCACGAAAGGGCTACGGGTTGGGGCAAGGAATGGCGATAGTTGTAGGGGCAATGACGTTTTGTTAGGGAGCATGTTGGGCGGTTTTGAGGCGGGTCAGGTTGCGACGGGGGAGGGGGAGGTGACATTGGGGCAGGGTAGACTATGGCTGGGGGAAGGGGCTAGGGAGCTGTGGAAGGGCGAGGAGGGGTAGGGGTCGGGGTAGGGGGCATAGGTGGTCTCACCCGTAGGAGTAACAACTGCAATGTCGGCGGTGGAGGGGTGGCGGTTTCACCGAACGAAAACTATGGAGAATGTAATAGTAACATTTTTACTAGAAAAAGTCCCTAGAATATTTTTTGGCAGGCACAGTGACTTGTTTCATGACCGCAGTGATATCCATAAGTGATATAAAAATTTGATAGTGACATGAATGACAGTGATATTAAAATTTAATTGTGACATCACGTTGTTAGTCATATTTTTGGTCACATGTAAAAGTAGTCACATTTTTGGAATTAGCATTAATAATTAATAGAGTACTACCTTCGTCCATTGTCATTGAGGTTCAAGGGGTTGCACACTTGTGATTACGATAATGCACATTTTACAACAACGTAAAAAGTTCATTTTGTTCAACAAAAATGCCACCACATTTTTCATTCATGGTAGTGCACATTTCAAATTTAGGAAATACATAATTCTCAAATCTAATCTTTCAAATTTATTCTCATTTCTCCTTCGAGACAATATTCACATATTTATCAAAACCACTCTTATCATGCAATTTGCAAACCGTCATATTCTACTCAACTTGATGCACTTTAAAGTTTAAAGCACGCCTTTTGCATTTCTTTAACTTTGGTCGAGTCATCTAAATAAAGCGGATGATAAAAATATAGTGTAATTTAAGTAAACGAATAAAGAATACAAAAAAAGTAGCATACAAATCTAATAGTGCATCAAATTGTAGAAAAAGTGTATGTGTTCATTATTTTCACACGAAGAATTTTTATATTTGATCCAAAACATATACATCCTCTAACATTATAACGTCTAACATTATACACAGAGTAATTAAGAAGACACCTCTCTCGGGAGCCCTTGTATTTAGCATCATATCTGATGGAGCCATATGATTTAACATCTAACATTATGAGCCTGTTTGGTGATCATGTTTTTCGGCTTACCAGGCTTATCATCAAAGTTTTTCACAAAACACGTAACTTTTGATTTCGCGCGCTGAATTGTATTACGTATAATAATAAGAAAAAGTTAGGTTGAGGTTACTTTTCTGGCTGTATTGACTGAAGTTACTGTAGAGGACCATTTTAGCTATTTTCATATAATTTTTTTTCTTTATTTTATTAATAAAATATATTTTAAATAGAATTTTTTCATAAATTAACATAATCAGCCAATCCAGTGATCCACACTTCAACTAGATTTCATAAATTTCAGCAGAATTAGTCAATACAGCCGATCTGCGTATTACCAAACGGGCTCTATATGTGTTTTATTTATACAATGATGTACTACGTAATACTCTCTCAATTCCTTAAAACTTTGTCAACTTTCCTTTTTTGGATGTCCCACTAGTTTTGTCACTTTCCCATTTAAGTAAAGAATTTGTGGTTCCAGTTAATTATCCCTCCTCTGCACAAACCTCAATCACACAATTTTTACTTTATTAATCTCAATGTCGGTCAAACTTGACAAAGTTTTAAGGAACGAATGTATTGAAATCTATGAATATATGGTTTATACGGAGTAATAATCAATCAAATATACTATAAACAGTAGTAAGTTGGAAGAGATAAATGAGAAAATAGTCCATTATCTATATTTAACATGGTATTGGTGGAAACATGTTGGGTGGAGCCTGGTGGGGTTGGGAGGTGGATTGATTGATTGGTGGTGGTGAGGATGGGAAAGCCAATAGTTTGGAAAGAGTTGGGAAACATAAGGTGTGGGGGTGAGTTAAAGATTTGACCAAAGTTGGTAGAGGAAGGGGGGAGAGTAGTTAAGAGATAGGGGAAGGATTTGGTAGGTTGGTTTGCTTTTAACAATAATATTAATTGTTAATAAATATGGTACAATGAGTTGGCCTTGTGAAGCTGCCTTTCATCCCTTCCCTGGGCCCCACACACTGTCAGCTATCTACTCCTCCCATACAAGGATCATAGTGTTCTTTTTTATTTATTTTTTTTATTTATTTTTTATATCATAGTGTTTTTTTGTTACTTAATTGATTGGAAATGAATGTAGTGACATTAAAGGGTAGTAGTTGATCAATTCCGGCCCTCCTTCCACTTTCCTGTTTTGGCCCATCCCTCTGGTGGGCCTATCTCTTGGTTCTTTTTTATGTTTTATTTTTCTTGTACTCGTAATCTCGTCCCACCCTTTATCCGTCCCAACTTATCCATCTCCATTAATGTATAAATTTAATACTCTCTAATAAATTTAAATAAACACCTAATTTTACAAGAAAGTGATGGATTTAAAGAGAATTGATCCAACACCGAATTTTATATAAGAACATTAGGTAAAGCACTCAAAGTACTATACTTCATTAATAGGTGGATCTCATATTTAGATATATTTAATTTT